CATGATAAAATCACTAATCCTAAGAATGAATGACGTTAACAATATCAATAGGATAAAAAAAAATATGTTTGGCTACATTAATAAATTAAAGTGAAATTATTTGATGGGGTTTATCTTTAAATAACTAAAGAGATTTTTTTTTGTTTCTGAAAACCTTTGAGGATGATGTAATAAAGGGCAACTACCAACAGAGGACCATGGACTGCTAGGAAAACAAACAGATTTGTCCTGGAAAGGGTTAAACCGGGTGGCTCCTTGGAGGCAAGGATTCTAAGGCTCCGTCTAACATACTTTGGACATGTTGTGAGGAGAGACCAGTCCTTAGAGAGGGACATCATGCTTGGGAGGGTGGAGGGAGGAGGGACAGCGCAGGAGGGGAAGACCCTCTATGAGGTGGACTGATTCAGTGACTGGGATAATTGGGATGGGAGTGTCAGAGACAGTGCGATTGCCACAGGGCAGAGCGGAGTTTAGGGCTGTTGTACATAGGGTCGCTATGAGTCGCAAGCGACTTGACGGCACATAACAACAACAACAACACCAACAACAACAACAACAACAACAACATATGAAACCAAAGGGAAATAAATTGAAATCTACACTGCTATACATTTAAGTAAAAAATAAATTATAATAAAAAAGTTGATCAATTTTTTTAAAGGAAGAAAAAACCTGATATACTTAAAAAATTGTGGTTGAATTGTTTCTTCAGCACTAAACATGTTTGTTTGACTGCTCTGTATGATTCTTAGTTCCTCTCTGGTTCCCCTAACAACTTCTTTGTTCTGACAATCCCCCCTTTTCCCCATTTAGATATAAAACAATTTCCGATTAAAAAAGATTTCAAAGATAGAAGATCCCCTAAAACATCAGTCTTTTTATATGCACAGAATCATTACAGGTTTATATATGTTGTTGATGTTGTTACGTGCTGTCAAGTTGCCTGTGACTCTTAGCTCTGAACCCTTGCCTGTACTGAGCCAGTCTCACTATTCTGACACACCAATCCAATAATGCCCTAGTTACTATATCCATCTATATCATCTGGAGTCTTCCTCTCCTGTGCTGTCCCTCCACCCTTCTGAACATGATGGCCTCCAAGGACCTGCCCAAATTATGTGAGAAGTCACTTCAAAACCCTAGTCTTCAAGGAGAAACTTGGTTTCACCCTCTCCAAGACAGGCCTATTTGTTTTCTTGGCAGTCCATTGTAGGTACAAGACTCTTCTCCAGTACCACAACTTGAAGGCATCAATTCTTCTGTCATCCTTAGTCACTGTCCAGATCTCTGAAGCATAACAAGTAACTGTGAAGGCCAAAGCCTGGATTAGGCACACCTTAGTCTCTAGACTGACATCGTTGCTTTTCAGCACTCTGGAGAGGTTCCTGACGGCAGATTACCCCAATGCAATTCGTCTTTTATTTCCTGACTGCTAGTGTTAAGAGTGTTGCTTGTGGAGCTCAGCAAGCTGTAATTGCTAACAATCTCAATCCCTTTTCCATCTATCATGCTGCCAATTGGCCCAGAGGTGAGAATCTTTGTGTTCTTGATGCAGAGCTTCAATCCATACTGAAGACTATGGTCCTTTACCTTCTGCAGAAAGTGCTTCGGGTTTCCTCAGTTTCAGCAAGTAAGGTTGTGTCATCTGCATATTGTAGGTTGTTGATGAGTCTTTCTCCAATCTTGATGCCACATTCCTCCTCATAAAGTCCTGCTTTCCAAATGGTCTATGAATATTATACATGTAGAAAAACTATTTAGAATCAGGCATTCTTTACATTTACTCCTGGAAATGTAAAACTCAAACTCACCACCATCGGGATGGCTCCAAGTCTAAATTACAATATGAGAAGCCTGATCATCTTATTCCTATGAAACAGGCAGGTGGTGGATCTGAACAACTGGAGACACTTTGCAGCACAACATCATATGGACTACACCACGGTGGCTCTCTTGGAAATTTAAAATTTGTTGTTATGTGCTGTCAAGTCGGAATAAATTCAGAGCTGACTCTCCAGTATGTTTCCAGAGGTTGTAAATGGCACAGAGGGAAACTGCCTATCTTTCTTCCAAAGAACAGTTGGTGGATTTGAACTGCATACCTCATACCTTTCAGTTGGCAGAATAACTTCTTACCAATTAGGCAACCAGTGCTCCCTGGAAACGTCAGGAATATATTTTAAAAACTTACTCAAATTCATCTGGAAAGTGTATTTGTTCCATGCAATAATCAGATGAAAAAAGGGAAAACTTTTTCCCAAAAGATACACTAGTTTTTAAAAATGACACTAGTCTTGGTAATTTGAGAATTTCAAATATGGCGAACAGTACCACTGGGGTAATGTGCAGCAGCAGGCTGCCCACAGTTGTAGTCTGGAACTTGTGACTGTCTCTGTCAAGTTTGCTGCTCCACACCGAGGCCAAAATTCTATAGAGAAGTGTCTGTGCAAGAGGCACTTGATTTTTCTGTTTAAGACTTATAGTCCCAACTCCATTTCCTAGTTATTTTAAGGCACAAGTTCTTAAAGAACTGTTTCTGAGCTGCCAGTAGCATTGGCATCATGTGAGTCTTGTTAGAAATGCAAACTGTCAGGCCTCAGCTCAAGATCTCCTGAAACAGAAACTCTATAAAAAGGTCCAGCAATGTTTCTTGGGTGATTCTGGTATCTACTACAGTTAGAGATCACTGCCTTAAGGCAACTGGACAAAGAGGCTTTTAGTTACCCTAAAAATAAGAATTCTTTAGTGATTTCAATTTCCAAACAAGTGGTGAAATTCAAGAATACCAAAGTACAAAGAATGGTTTGAAGCATGTGAAACACAAAATAAAATTCACTCTGAAGTAGATTATAGAGAAACAACAACAAACACCAACCAAAACCATTCGAATACCAATACAGAAAGATATTTCCATTAAGAGGGGCCAGGAAGTGATGATTCTTCTCTTCATAAATATTTCTATTGCTGAAGGGTGCCATCTTATTTTTAACACAACCCAGGCATTGATTTAAAATCAGGTTTAAAAAACACATTATGAAAAAGGAATCGATTGGAAACAACAAACAAGCATTAGGTAACCAGCAACTGCATTGAAATAGATACACCACTCACGTATTCCATTATGTAAATGAATTCAAAGATATTTCACGACTGATCAGCTGGAAGGGACATAATGATTTATAATTCAAATAACTGAGCACTGAAATCAAATTGAGCTAATATATATTTCTAAATATGCAAACCTGAAATAATTGTTAAAAAATATAAATCAATGTATCCATGTTGATCTCATTCATACCCGTTGGTTTAAAACATTATAGTTTTGAAACTTGCATTTAACAAGTTTTTTTGAAATACTGACTTTAGAAGAATCATTCCAAAGAAACAGCTTATTTAGGATTAAAGAATGTATAATAGGAATAATTTAATAAGAAAAGAATCTTAAAAACAGATGCAATAAATTAGGCACTATACAAATTATACCAGAAAGACTACAAATCAAATTGAATTTATATTAAGTTTCAATTTTAACTTAAAAAAACAGAGTAAACCTAAACAATAGATAGGTACTATAGAACAACATAGGCTTCTTTCCATATAATATGCTTTCACAGTAATTCATTGTGAAAAGGCCAGAGTTTGCAATACTAGGAAGTACTTATAAACCACTTCATATGTTAGAAATAAAAGAGTATTTCAGCATTATTATAAAAAAAATACAGGTTGAGTTTTTTCTTTTTTTAATAAGAAAAAATACATATCTTTAAAAGCCAAAATGACCACTGGAATTGGGTTGTACATCACTTTTCAGTAAAAAGGAAAAACAGCCTAGACAGGTGTAATTTATCATTTTTCTGATTTAATATCAAAGAAATATATTAAAATAATAAAAAGAATCCTGAAATCCTCAAAATTTGTAGTGATAAATAGCCCTCCCTGTCTTTATTACATTATACCTACTAACAGAAATATTGCATGGTGGATTTTGCCAGACAAGGACGATTATTTTCCAATAAAAAGTTGCATATTAAATTCCAGCACAAAAGTGGGTGTCTAATACTTTGGAAATCTTTTATGGTTTGCCAAGGAACACAATTTTAAACTTAACTAATACAAACATATTCCTAGAGTGAACCTTTATTAAAGGTTCCCTCCAACCCCACCCATTTTCAGAATGTTGTTCTTATATTAAAATATCAGCTAATCTTAGTGGTTAACGAAAGCAACACTTAGTTTTCACAACTCTTGCACATTTGATAGCTGACACATAAAAGACAATCTGCACACTACTCTCATTGAGAGAAGCACAACAATAGCACCAGCTGCAATCTACTAAGAAAATATTCCTGGTTTTAGATTTGAGAAAATCACTTAGAGAAGAAAATATTAGCATTTTATATATTAGGGGAAATTTTACTAGAAAATAAATAAGATATTGCTTAAGAGGGCCACTAATCAAAGATGTGGTAAGAAAAATCCTTATTAATTTCTCCCTACTACTCCTTTGCGCCTCTCAGCTAATGAAAATGATGTTCTTTTCAACTAAAGAATATTGCAAATGCATTTACACTTAGGAGTCAGTTTTCATTAAGGTGGCATTTTTAGAACATTTTGACCTTAAAATTAATTATACAATTTTACTTTAGAACAAGAACTTCTTAACAATTATGAAAAATCTTGGATTAAAACACATTTGGTCACATACTTTCATATGTGACCACTTATTAACCTGGGTGGTATAAATATAATTTTAACTAGTTATGAATCTATATATCCATAGAAATTCAACCGCGATTCTGAGCAAATGCTTCATAGCATGCAACCAATATAAACATTTCAAAAGAAGGTACTTAGAGATAAGGCTAAATGAAAAACATTGTATTTTTTAAAAACCCACCAAAAACTTTGCAAAACTTATAAACAACAAAAATACTTGGCCCAATAGAATACAACTGTCAGGTTGTTTATATGTAATATCAAATATACAGTAAAAAGGATATCCAACAGAAAGATCATTTAGGAACTGAAGAGTCCTTGAAATTACAGGCTCGCATCTTCCCCAGTATTTAAGGTTTGTGACGCTAAATATGAACAACAAAAACAAAAATGTTTTAATTTAAGTAATATATTTGCTTGTGTAGGGGGAATCATGGAAGTGAAACATAACACTCACAAGTATAAAGCTCTGGATGATGTTAGATGACCAAATTTAGAGTATTACACAGAGTGAAAGCAATTTTAAATATCAATGAAATATTTTCTATTTTTTTTACAGCACATTCAAAATTATATACAATGTGTACAATGAATATCATTCTCCAACGGCTTTATAACTCTATAAATTCTGTTTTGTAATTGAAAATGTTGCCTATTTCACAGAAGAAACGTTTGTATTAAGAACAGCCATATTAAAGACTGAAAGCAGGAGCTATACAGGGAGTCAAATGGAGGCTCACAGTTACTGTCAAGACATGAACCATAAAACTCTAAGGCTCACTCCTTAGGAAGAAGCTCTCAGATTCAGCTAAAACCATCAAGTTTGTTCTCTGAAGGAAGATAGTGCTGTGTATCTATAAAAGTGGAATGCCAAGGGGCATGCAGGTTTAGGGTGTGTATACAAAGTTATGTCTATAGGTACAAACTAGTTAATTTGGTTAATTTTGTAAGGCTAGTTGGAGGATTGTCTCCATGACCGTGCCTCTGATAGTAATGACAGTGCTGCAATCCCAAAGGCACACAGTTTGAATCTACTCCCATGTGATCTACTCCCTCTGAAAACCTGCCGGAGGGTCAGCTTTGGGTCAGTTTCAATTTCACTGCACACATTAACATCAACAATTGAGGAGATGTTCAACAGGTGAAGGACTGTCTCTGTGACTGTATCTCTGACAGCCACATGTTCCAGTAGAGGTGAATGGGTGCACTGTCTTAAGACAATCAGTTCTCTCTCAACGATTATATCTGCTAGACTGTCTTCAGCCAGTCTTTTTTTTTTTTTAAAGAAGTCTGTCTCTAACCAACCTAAAAGGAGCTGTAGAGTGGCTTAGTGGTAAAGAATCACACTCCCAACCCAAAGGCAAGTGGTTTGAATCCACTAGGTGCTTGGCAGGAGAAAGATGTGTGTGATTTAGTGACTGAAAAATCCACTGAAAGGTTAGCTACGGGTTGGTTCAGACTCAAAGGCACACACAACAAAAAGAACAATTGGCCTACAAAGTCAAGTATCAGTAAACATTTTAAAACCATGCTTTGATATTATGTAGACAGCCTAACAAATGAGAATGCTGCCTGAATGGGATTTGAGTTTTAAATACATGAAACTAACTTGCAGTGAAGAATAATGTTAATATTCCAAAAACTAAAGCATCATTTAAATGTCAGTATATTGTGAAGAGATTTAAATACAAAAGAAAGGTGACTAACACAACAACAAAGAGATCAATCATATTTAAAATAACATCAAAAGAAAAGGATCAAAGTAGGAACTCACATCTTTGTCATGAATGTTTCTAGAACATGGTTATCATCTGTTATTCCTAAAACTTCTGACATGCGGGCATATACCTGCACAAAAACAGTTCACTGTTAAAAAAGTTATCATTAACATACTTTCAATGGTGTATTCAAATGGAAAAAAAATATATTGAGGGCACTGTTGCATCCATGCTGAAGTATATAGAGTGGGTAAGGAAAGGAAAGGAAATGAAGGATGGAATTTTCTTTATAATTTTAAAATTTACTGACATTCCTCTGTTTTAAAATATTTTCTCTCACACACACAGACACACTATACCCATTATACTATATAATAATTTATTTTTATAAAAATGGTAGATTTTTCTTAAATATGAGTACAAATATGCAAAAGAGCTGGAAAGTGTATGTCTCCACAAATGGTTCAAACATAAAATTCCCATCTACTCCAGTTTCTGTAAATCATAAACAACTAAGATCATATAAGGCAGTCATAAAAAGAATTATTTTTGAAATCAAAGGAAAGAATTTATAGACATTTTTCTCAAATATTAAGCTCCCTCTAATACAGAGGTAGGTCTTACTCTTCCCTTCTGAGGAAGTGAAAATCACAAACTAAAAGATTCTCTGCTGGAAACATCAGGGGCTGGGAATCCAATGAGTTTTCAACTAGAGCATGTTGGCTGCTGAGTTTGGGGTACAACATTTCACTTTCCATCTTGGTCACCATGAGCTTATATAAGCATGGTATTTCACTCCAAGTGGGAGAACACTACTGGTGCAAATGGAATGTCCCCTAGTAGCCTGGCAAGCTGAGAGGTGGGTTGACACCTTTGTACTCGCTGATGCTCTGGTGTGGTTCCAGGCTAACCCTGGAAAACACTGTCTTCTATGGGTGCTTTTTCTCTCATGATTTGATCCCTTGTGATTGTGTTGTCTTTTTCCTGGTCCGTTCGTTCAGTATGGTATAGCAACTTAACTTCCATGTCCTCTGCCACCTGGTTTTTGTACGTAAACCGCAGCCTGAGATATTGCCACACATCATGAAAGGAAGATGAAAATCACAAAGTACCACTCGCCACCCTAAGCTCTAGGGTTATCCAGGGGAGAAAGTTCATTTCAGAAATCTAGCTGGACTTCACATTCCATGAAAAGCAGAATCTTGTGTTCCACAGTTTCAGTTTAAGTCCTCCATTCAGAAGGCTTCTCAGGCTCTTAGAGTGAATCTTGAGGAGATGAAGGAAGAGAAGTGGGTAGGGTTGAGGGGTGGGTAGGGAGAGAGAAAAGTAGAGAGGAGGGAGGAGGGTGGAGTGGAGAGACTCTAAGGAGGAGAGAGAAAGGGAAGATTTGAATTCTCTTGGGTTGTCTCTTCGGCTAACTTCTCAGCCCTGTGCAAAAGCAGCTTAATGACTATATGTGCAACTTTAGGCACTGTTATCTCTAACAGATTCAAGGCTCATTGTTGCTTGTTAGATATGGAAGATCCAAGAATTTCATTACCACTGACCATTCTTCCATTATCAGAAGTCTTGAAGCACTCTAGACAGCTGGAGAAATGGTCTGAAATTTTTCTCACAATGATCTAAAACCTCTTTCATGGAGGGGAATTAATTGTTCCCACCCCTGGAAAGTTGGTTATCGATAGGATTAATGGCATATAGGATCCTACAAGAGGAGCTCAACATATCCCATCTTTCAGCATTTCTCTCAACCTGAAGCTACACTGAAAAGGTCATCTATCAATGGAGCTTCTCACGTGATTCCTATCTCCTCACTCAGGTGCTGTTCTGAAGTAGCCTTCTTTCTCCTCGTCCCCTCATTACCACTTGAGTACCATCTGCAATACCTTCTCTGGCTTCCCAGCCAGCATGAATTGTGGTCTCCTACATTCCCACAGTATTTGGTCCATCCCTCTATCATCGTGCTTTCTACACTGTAATTGTCTTAGTGTGCCAAAACCCATTACTAATGCCAGAGCTCTTTGAGGGCTGGTACTGTGGCTTCTTCTTTGTGTCCCAGCACCTAAACAGTACTTGTCAAGTAAATAATACATGTATGCTTAATGTATAACGGCAAGAGTCATGATATGGATCCACTGGGACTATACTGTAATGTGACTATTATACAGACTATGAAAAATGAAGATCTATCTTACGAAACATATTGGATTTCATGGACAAAAGACACAGTATCATAAATTAAAACAGAAAAAAGAGAGTAGCTTGTATTGCTCTTTTTAATCTATGAATATCTAGTAGTTGATGGTAATAATTATTTCAAAACTTTTATCTTTGCAGCACCTTTTTCAAATGAAATCTTTCAAATATACCCGATTTTAAAACGAGTGGGCACCCCAAGCTCTACCATGTGGTTTGCTGTCCTGGTTGTGCTCTGTCCCATGCCTACAGACTGTGTCTCTAACTGACTGGAATTCTATAGGCACTTTCATGGAACAAAGATGAAAGTCTGGGGTGGTGGTGGTGGTTGTCACATTAGTTTAAATTGGCCCTACTACAACCCAAAGCACAAACTCTCCAGATGGGATAAAGGATCATCATTACTGATCAAAAATTTAATAATGGTTTTCGGTTTCTGACATCCTGGCCTACAGAATTTTATGACTTTATGTTTCTGACATATTGGCTTACAGGAAACCACATGATGATGAGATTACCCCTAATAGCTTATTTTCCCTTTCCTTTCAGTGATAATAGTTCTTTCTCCATCTACCTCATGTTAAATTACTTATTTTGAACAACTTGCTAACAGAATTTCAGCAAAATAAAATTTTACACTTCCAAGACTATTTTTAAGTGCTACTTTTGGAACCAGAACTCAGAATTGATCTAATTTCTATTTTAACCATGTCATACTAGACAATAAAAATATTTAAAAAAAATTACGAAAATAGGATTTTTTAAAATCACATGATAATTTCGGATGTGGTATTTGAAATATTTGTAAAATGTATCCTTTTTAGTTGGAGGTTCTTTCCAGGAAAAGCTTTCCTGATGTGTCCCAGGTGTCAAGATGGGAGAAAGCGAGGCAGGCAGGTCTGTTGTGCTCCGCTGTCAAAACAGTTCTCAAAGCATCAGATCTGACCCAATAAGATACTAGAAAAAACAGTCAACATTGACACATGGCAGTGCTTTAATCCACAATTATCCTTGTAACTTGCACCATTCCTTTTATCATCCATTAGCTTTGATTCCCATTATCCCATCTAGAACTGTGTCAACGCTTTTGTCCTTGGGGATTTCTCTCCACTACTAGGATCTGACAGTCAAGCTTGAGTACTAAACAGGATCATTACCTCTTAAATCCACTTATCTGATCTACTGAATAGTAAATTGAAAAGCTCATTAAGAGCAACAATCTGATTTGTTTTCACGTGTGACAGGGTCATTTAAAATCAATGTATGATTACAGCATTTCTTCTAAAAGATTGTCTCACATTTTCCAATGCGCCTTATCCTTCAAAGAACATGCAGATAATATGAAAATGTCTCCAAACATTTGGAATTTAATTATATCACAGACAGTAAAACGATCATCAAATAATTTAGGAGTGAGAAGTAATTTGTCCAGTGAGAACTGCAAAATCATTTATCATAAAGCACAAGTCTGTGAAAGTGTCTGTCTACATTAAAAAAAATAATTTTAGCACAATGCTTAGGGGTTTTAAACATTTTCCAAAATTTTTGTCACATCACAAAAAAATATATTTTAAATAGCAAGCAAATATAAAACATAACAAAATTACATTATCATAATACTCAAAAGAAAAAACAAACAAAAATACTAAAATTAAGAAAGGATATAGGAATTAGAATAGGAATGCAAGAAGATAAAACCTCTTAAAGATTCCTAATCTTCAATGAATGAATGGAAACCCAAATTCTCCATAAATGTTCATTAAAATTATTTAAAAAAATTAAAAAAAAGAGTCCTAATCTTTTTTTCCACAATGAATAAGGAGGACAGAAGAAGAATTGATGCCTTTGAATTGTGGTGTTGGGGAAGAGTACTGAATATGCCATGCACTGCCAAAAGAGCAAACAAATCTGTCACCTTGGAGGCAAGGATGGTGAAACATACTTTGAAGATATTGTCAGGAGGGGCTGGTACTTGGAAAAAGACATCCTGAAAAATGCAGGTCAATGAAAGAGAAGACCCTGAACAAGATGGATTGACACAATGACTGTAACAATGGGCTGGAATAGGACACAGCGTGAGGATGGTGCAGGATAGCGCAAAGTTCAGACTCCTTGTGCATAAAGTCGCTGTGAGTTGTAGTCAACCCAATGAAACTTAATAGGAATTTCTTTTGGAATCAATTAAAATAACCTCATAATGAAAAATTATAAGCCAAAACTTAGAAGGAAGAGAGAAAATTAAATATGTTGTCACGTATCAGAGAAAGATGCCCAATAAAATGTTGCTGAATAGATGGTGATGCCTTTGGTTAGGTCTCACACAGCCAGAGATGCACCTGTTGTGACCCAGTGTCTGCCTGCGGCCTTCATCTCCCTATTACACTCCAGGTTCTGTAAGGGCAGGGGGAGTGCTCTATCTTAGATTTCCCGTGCCTAATACTCAATAAAAGTTTGTTAAATAAACAAAAAAGAATGTAACATTAAACTGTACATTTCTGGCCCATTCCATTGCAGTCATAGTATTTAAAAAAAGGAAAGCAATTCAAAAGAAGTGTTTATAAACAGAACTTTTTTCCTCTGTAAACTATAAAAATAATATAACCATAATCCTATTCTCCAGGGGTGAACACTGGCAAAATTTTGTTATTTAAAATTGTGTAGCTTTAATACTTAAATATTTCTGGAAGGCCCCTCTGGATCCAGTGAATACAGCTCTTTCCTTCTTTTGAGTCCCCAGAGCATCCACAGTTGCCACCCTATTATGTGTACTTCTCATAAAGCATAATGGAATATGATCTTGTTGTAGTATTAATTTTCTATGCAAATATATCCCCCTCCTCCAGTTTGAGCATGTGTCCCCTGAGGGCAGGGAAAAGGCCTATTTGTTTACACCTCCAGCAGTGCTCAGAATACTGTCATGATAAACATGGCAAA